CTATAGTACAGGGACTTTGGCCCGATTTTTTAGCAACTTAAAAAAATCGTAAAAAAATTAAATTTGGTCGGAATCAGCTCAAACTTTCTACATAACATAAGTACATGTATATGCATCAGAAAAAATTATAAAAATAAGAGATTTCCTCCTTTTCATTTTTTGCGAAATTTGGCCAAAATCCCTGTACTATAGTACAGGGACTTTGGCCCAATTTTTGAGCAACTTTTAAAAATCGTAAAAAAAATTAAATTTGGTCGGAATCAGCTCAAACTTTCTACACAACATAAGTACATGTATATGCATCAGAAAAAATTATAAAAATAAAGAAATTTTCTCCTTTGTATTTTTGGTGAAATTCGGCCAAAGATAGTACAGAAACTTTAGCCCGATTTCTGAACCTGCACATTTTCCAAAAAGCTCCCTTAAGTTTCTCTCTACCTCTCCATTAGGGTCATCAACAGTGGCTATTCGACGAAACTGGAAAGCGTTACCTTGACCTTTTTGCTGGCATAGTAACTGTCAGCGTTGGACACTGTCACCCGTTAGTCACATAATAATTATTATCATCATTATACAAATGCATATCCTCAACCAGTAAAGTGACTGAAGCTGCCAAAAGGCAATTGGATAAGCTATGGCACACTACCAATATATACATGCATCCAAACATTCACGAGTTTGGAGAAAAGCTTGCTTTGAAGCTACCAGGAGATTTAAAGGTATTGAGCAGTTTTAATTTTATAGTCCTCATCTCTTCTCCTTTTTGCTTTGTTTGACTTTATTTTTTACTTTTCATTCTTATCTCTTATCTCCATTTCCTTCTAGGTGGTGTATTTCACCAACAGTGGATCAGAGGCTAATGATTTAGCAGTTACAATGGCTAAACTCCACACTGGTGCTCATGACATTATTAATTTGAGGTTAGTCCCATTAACTCCACTTACTATGCAGCATGTTTCATGGAGTAAATGTTGCATGGCTTTATATCCCTCCTTTATTGCTTCTATAGAAACAGTTATCATGGCGGCTCCCCTTTTGCTATGGAGATGACCAACCTTGGTAACTGGAAGTTTCCTCTTCATCGTAATCTAGGCATTCATGCTGTAAGTTTACTTATATCATTATCATCATCATCATCATCATTATCATCATTATTATTATTATCAGACGGTTAATCCTGATGTGTATCGAGGCCCATGGGGTGGAGCTAACTGTCGTAGCAGTGTTGCTCAAACACAGCGCTCCTGCAGCTGTGCTGAAGGTAATGATAGCATCAACTTTTATCTCTTTATTCACAAGAGCATCATTATGTATTTTGAGCCTATTTTTGTAAAAGTGTTGATCCTCATTAGTCCCTCTCTCTTTTAAGCAGTACATTTCTCCTTTTTTATTGGTTAAAGTTCACTCGTTATCAGCCCAAAAGCTATTATCATAATCATACTGACTTGCTGATAGCTGGTATATAGTAGACTAGTAGTAGTAGGATAACATTAAAGGGTAACTACACCCCAAATTTTTTTCCTCTGAAATAAGTTGGTAATAAAGAAAGAATCATAGAAAAAATAGCTAAAATTATTAAAAAGTACCAATTCTATACTAAATCTTGGGTCAAAAGTTGCCTTGCAGCCATTATGTCAAATCACTTCCGGTAGTGGGCGTGGTCACGCGATGACGTAGATGGGGGAACATTAGCAAGTTTCTGCATTGAAATATTAGCAACTTTAAGGCTAGATTTCTAAGTTCTGCATGCAAGAAAGCAATTTTAATGAAGAGGACCATATAGAACTAATCAAGAGCTAACTACAAACATTTATACTGGTAACAAAATCTATCTATTTATGAAAAATGCTATATGACCAAATTTAAATTTTGACTGAATATTTTAGCTCTTTATAGCTTCTAATAATTGCAAAAATACCTTTTAGCTGCTTTCTTGCACACAGAACTTAGAAATCCAGCCTTGAATTTGCTAATATTTCAATGCAGAAACTTGCTAATATTCCCCCATCTACGTCATCGCGTGACCACGCCCACTACCGGAAGTGATTTGACATAATGGCTGCAAGGCAACTTTTGACCCAAGATTTAGTATAGAATTGGTACTTTTTAATAATTTTAGCTATTTTTCCTATGATTCTTTCTTTATTACCAACTTATTACAGAGGAAAAAAATTTGGGGTGTAGTTACCCTTTAACAGATGTTTGTAGTATGGTTTCCGATTATAACTGGGACGTGGTGATTGTTTATTTTAAAGGTCATGTGATATTAATTAGTGGTCTTTAATGACTTCAGCTGTTCATTTTAAAATTGTATTATTATTGTATGGTGTAGCCTGTATCTGGGGATCTTATTCATACTGTCTTGTGTGTGTGTATGCATGTTTGTTAATGTTCTTGTGTCTGTAATTGTGTATTGTGTATGTGCAGTGTTTACTTTAAGAGTTTTTGATGATTACTTTTATAATGGAGTGCTTTTGTAATCCATCTCTCTCTCTCTCTCTCTCTCTCTCTCTCTCACCCCCTCTCTTAGGTCAGTGTCAAGCAACATCGCTATACCTGGATCAGTTAGATGACTTGTTAAGACACTGTACTCCAGGGAAGATTGCTGGCTTCTTTGCTGAGACTATACAAGTACATCAGTAACTATTGGATCTTCACTTACTATTCTTTTCCCCTTAGGGTGTAGGAGGAGCTGTTCAATTGCCTAAGGGTTACCTTAAAGGTGCCTATGATCTCATTAGGGCTAAAGGTGGTGTCTGTATATCTGATGAGGTATACTGATAGCAAGAGTAGATCATATTCTTCATTGTGATTTTGTGATATATGAATCGTTTTTCTCCCTCATATATTCCCTGTAGTATATCCCCTCTCTCTCATTTTCTTTCTCTCTCTCTCTCTTCTCTACTTTTCTTCCCTCAGATTCTCCCTACCTTTTCATCCCTCACCTTATCTTTCCCTTATCTCTTTCCTCCCCCTCTCTCCTCATTCACTGATTCTCACTTTACTTAATCTTTATATTATCAGGTCCAGTGTGGGTTTGGTAGACTTGGAACTGATTACTGGGGATTTCAGACTCAAGATGTCATCCCTGATATTGGTATGATGTACAACTTAATGTATTGTATGATGTATTGATGTATTGATGTACAATCTAATGTATTGTATGATGTATTGATGTATTGATGTACAATCTAATGTATTGTATGATGTATTGATGTATTGATGTACAACTTAATGTATTGTATGATGTATTGATGTATTGATGTACAATCTAATGTATTGTATGATGTATTGATGTATTGATGTACAATCTAATGTATTGTATGATGTATTGATGTATTGATGTACAATCTAATGTATTGTATGCCCTTTCTGATACTATAGTGCAATGACAATACACTAGGCATCATTTGTTAAAGTAAATCTCATAATTGAAAATGCCTAAATGATTGTAAAGCATTGAGAAGATTAATCTCATGGGAAACTGATTATTGTTGATAATAG